TCGTTTGGAATGCAATTTCTCAAGTGGTATTGGTGGTAAACTGATGAATGGCACAGGGTTTCAAGTTATCTTTGCAGATTCAGGACTTGAAAACATCATCTGTACCACAGAACAATTTTGTCATTGGCATGCTTATTAATTAAGTCCTAATTATTAGGAGAGAGAAGTGATTTGGTAAAAAAATTGATGAGTTTCAGGATTAATTACAATTTTTATTTGGCTCATCATGTCATGTTGACGAGATGGAAACAAAGCTCATATATCATGGATGCCAGTAGCTAGCTACTGGAAATCTGCCCATTCACAATCACCCAAATATGTTTTAGCTTCTCGATCATTTTGCATGGAATTCATTAATTTAAGTACATGCATAAACGCGCACACACACAAATATAGAGAGAGAGGGGCGCAGAAATGATCGAACTGGTTATACTGATAACAAGAAAGAATGAAGAAGATGAGTGCGACACACAAACAAAATACAAATTTATTTTATTATTTATCAAACTTTGTGTTAGGATCTTAAAATTTTATTTATATGTTATGTTAGATAACCATTCAATTGTGAACCAATTTTAACGACCTACGATTTGTTCTTGTGTATGATCCCTATAATTGTCCTGAAAGATTTTGCCGTGTAATTGAAAGATGGGAGTGTTTTTTATTGGACCAATTCTTCTTCTTCTTCCGGGTGGTGGGTTGCTAATGGGATTGTCCATTGGATTACTCATCAATGAAGTCGTTATATTATAGACCGCGGTGCATGTGCACCGAGGTCAAAAACGGCGCCGTTAGAGTTAACAGAGTCCGCTTGTTTGGTGTATTAAACACCAACTGACACTATAGTATATCTAAACCGACACTGCAGTTATATCAAAATGATACTGTAGTTATAGTGAAATGAAACTGCAGTGTATATAAAATGAAACTGAATAACATTTCACATATTTGAGTGTATATTGTACAATGAAGCTGTAATTATATCAAAATGATCATGTAGTTGTGTTTTAATGAAACTATAGTGTATATAAAATAAAATTAAATAACATTTTCACATATTTGAGTCTATAAATATCGAATGAAACTATAGTTATATCGAAATGAAACTGTAGTTGTGTTGAACTGAAACTGCAGTGTATACAAAATGACACTGAACAACAGAGTTACTTTTTACAAAAGGGTGCGAAACGGCGGAAACAAACACTGTTTATTTTCATTTAAAAAAAAAAAAAGACGTGCGGTGCATAATCCATAAATGGATGGATTATGCACCGCGGTGCATAATATAATTTGCCTCATCAATGCAGTTGTTATATTATAGACCGCGGTGCATAATCGATTATGCACCGCGGCCCATATACGGCGCCGTTTCTTTAAGTAAAGAAACGGCCCGCCGTTAGAGTTAACGGAGTCCGTTTGTTTGGTGTATTAAACACCAACTGACACTACAGTATATCCAAATCGACACTGTAGTTATATCAAAATGGTACTATAGTTATAGTGAAATGAAACTGCAGTGTATATAAACTGAAACTGAATAACATTTCACATATTTGAGTGTATATTGTACAATGAAGCTGTAATTATATTAAAATGATCATGTAGTTGTGTTTTAATAAAACTATAGTGTATATAAAATAAAATTAAATAACATTTTCACATATTTGAGTATCCTCAATATCGAATGAAACTATAGTTATATCGAAATGAAACTGTAGTTGTGTTCAACTGAAACTGTAGTGTATACAAAATGACACTGAATAACAGAGTTACTTTTTGCAAAATGGTACGAAACGGCGGAAATAAACACTGTTAATTTTCATTTTAAAAAAAATGCACGGTGCATAATCGATTATGCACCGCGGTGCATAATATAATTTGCCTCATCAATGCTGGCCAACACCAATACATTTTTGGGCCGTTTTAGGGTCCTAACATTTTGGGCCATCCATCATGTTTTTTGGCAATGGAGAGGCTCTCATTTGGAAGAATCTGCCATTTCACTCATGTTCGAAATGGCCTTTGTCCTCATGACCAACGGTTGGATCCTTCTCCATTTTGGGTTATTCAACGGGATATGTCTCAGTGTATCAATTATTATATCATGAACCAGATTCATATTCATTGTGAACCTAATACAAAAATTTTGTGGAGGCGTCTGGGGTGAGCAATTTCCCTTTTTTGTCACAAGATATTCTAAAATTTCAACATTGATTGGGTTTTTGAATTCGATATGTTTTGCAGCTAATTGGGTTGTTTTAAAAGAAAGTGTGAATGTTGATTTGTTGGTTAGTGAGTGAGAGCATAGTGCATAGTATTGTGTTCAAACTTCAAAATCCTACTTACTGATTTCTTGACTTAGTCATAGCCAAGACTCCACGGCTCCACCGTACCCACGTGAATTGATGTGTTTGGGTTTTTGGATGCATAAATTCTAGAGTCTTACTATATGTAATCCATATTTCGATCTATTTCATAACCTTTTTTTTTTTTACGTGACAATTGACAATTAATTATCTTTATCTTATAGGTTTCAATGAGAATGTCAACATTAAAATTTTATAAGAGAAAGTAAAAGTTGTGAATAGAATTGGAGAGTAAGAGTAGTATTTTCCTAAATTCTATGTTGAAAACAATCACAAAAATGTAGAGAATGACAAATGTATTGTTAAAATTCTTTCCGTTGATCTTATTAGAGAAATAATCAAATAAAATTTGTGATACTTTTATTTATTCATTTATTTATTTCAATTTTTTTTTAAAAAAAAAAAAAAGAGAAGTGATCCTAAATAATTAGTTCAACCAATAATATCGCTCCACAACAGTGCATCTAAATATCTTGCACCTTTGGTGGGGTGGTAGTGGCTGCAGTGGCGATGTTGATGTTGATGGTGGCGGTGGCAGGGGTGACGATAGTGATAGTGATAGTGATGGTGGTGGTGGTGTGGCGTGGCATGATATTGATGTGGAAATTGAAAATTTACTTCTCTAAAAAAAAAAAAAAAAAAAAAGTCATTTTTCAAGAAAATGAAGGTATTTACTTTAACCTAATGTCTTTCTTTTTTCTTCTTTTATTATTATTTTTTTTTGACTCACATGTTTAACTGTTTATCAAACATTGGAAATCTCAAAAAAATGATTTCGAGAAATAATTTCTTGGGATTTCAAACACACTCTACAAAAATTGGGATTATGAGTGAAAAATACGATTTACTATAAAATGGATGTTGGTAAATTTTAACAAACAAATAAATTTTAATTAATTAAAAAAAAAACTAAAAAAACACCCGAAAAAACTAGTTTCATTTTTGTTAAGCATAAAGGTATATCTCAAATTAAAGGAAAACCTACGAATGCAACCAATCAACCAACAAGAGAGAAAAAATAAAAAATAAAAAAATAATAAAAAAAAACTTAAATGAAAAACAAATCAAATTATGTAAAGATACTCTCCAACTATCCAACTATATCTCTCCAATATCATATCAATTGATGCAAGAGATCTCTACAATTGTCCCCATTCCGCTATAGTCAAATGAAGTTCATCCATTCAGCATTGTAGGATGGAGGAGTGAACGAAGTAACGCATTTTCTTCCATTGCATAGTACAAAAATTAAAAGATAATTGATGTAACGTTATTTATTTACTACTTTTTTTTTTAAAGTAAGACAATATTTATATTAAATAATAAGATGTTTAATACAAGAAGGTATAGAAGAAAGCCAAATAGAAGGACCAGAATGCAAACGAGCCGCTCTACCTAACACATGAGCACACTTATTCACTGATCTATTGATGTACTTAAAGGACACTACTTCAAAGTGTCTTTGTAACTCATTGCAGGCACTAATAGCATAACCTGCATAAGAGAAAGATTGGATCCGAAGCCATTAAGGAAATTGCAAACCACCTGACAGTCGGACAACACCACGATCCTGAACAATCCTTGATCTATTTACTACTTAATAGCACACACAGATAATTTTTATAACTTTATATATATATATATATATATATATATATATATATATATATATATATATATATTTGGATACATTATATTTTTTAGTTTACGTTATATTAATCCTATACTTCTATATCTCCATAACATTTGCCCAAGAGTCTGGGGATGAGGTAAAGGGGATGTTGCATTGGCAAACTTCTATTGTATTGGATGGAACTTGACTTCATTTCTTTAATATAATGTAGCGTTTCGTAAATATTTGTTAGTTGATTGAGTTAGTGAGCTTGATTAGTTAATAACATTAGCTAATTGTAGAAAAGTGTTTGGTAGCTGTTAGTTGATCGATGATTAAATACAAAATGACTTTTTCAAAAAGTTGATTGAAAAAGGTGGTTTGATCATTTTGGAACAAAAAGCTAATTAATCAAACAATTATATTGATTGTTTAAACAATGCAAATCAAACAGTTAATACTAATCAAATAAGCCATAATTAAATGATCTATGTTACCAAATAGGGCCAATAATATTTTATACAAGTAGTGGGGTTGGAAAAAAAAATTTAAATTGTTTGGCATTTTTGGATCTTATATGAATTGAAATTCTATAATATCTTTGAGAGTTTTGTTCAGACGTTTTCATCTTTTTGTTTAGATATCTATTATGTAGAAATGTTTACATTTGTTTCAAGAAGTGTTTTAGGACAAAAAAGTTATCAACGAAAAAAATATATAACTAAAATACTGAATTTTATTGATAATTAATTTAGCAATTAATAGTATTATATTGAGAAAATAAATATGGTATCGAGCTAATGTAAAATGGTCACTTAAGTTATGATTCATAATAACAAAATTTTATTAAATTTTATCTTCTATGTATTTATAAATTAAATGTAAATTTAGTATATGTCATTGTAAATTAAATAACATAAAATAGCATTTGAAACATACAAAATTTAATAAAAATATAATACTATTTTGTAGAGTGCTGATAATATCATGTATATACAAACGTCAAAAATAATAGATGTAGCGTTGTCGATTCCTTTAATAATACATTTCAATGCTAAATTCCACTCCATTAACTTATCTTCTCTCTCTCTCTCTCTCTCTCTAGAAACAGAGGTCTTCATCATCAGTGACTCTCTCCAAGGCTATCAAACCAATTCAACTCAAAATGATGGTAAGCTTTCCTTCCTTTTTGCGCCAGTAAAGTTATGAATTCGATCTGATCTTCAAGAAATACAGAAACTTGAAGGATTTTTGTGATGGTTTCAGAAAATCGTGCTAAAACTGGAGAATTTGGATGACAAAATCGCGCAAAAGGTGATGAAGAAAGTCTCCGAACTATACGGTACGCACTGATTTATATATATTAGGTTTCCGGCCAGAACAGAATCCTTAAAACTGTCGGAGATTTGGATTGTGAATTCGCTTAATTTGCAGGAGTGGAATCGATGTCCGTGGACAAGAACAAGAAACTATTGACGGTGACGGGGATCATAGATCCGGTGTTGCTCGTGGCCAAGCTGAGGAAAGTGTGTAACACGGAGATAGTGTCTGCCGGGCCAAAGGAGGGCGAGAAGAAGAAAGGTGACGACAACAATAAAGGCGCTGATGAGAAGAAAGGAGAAGACGGCAAGAAGAAAGGCGCCGGCGGCGGGGCTCAGGCGGCCGGCGCCGCCGCTCAGCCATTCGTGTACTACCCGCCGTACCCTTATCAGCAGCAGTACCACTACTATCAGCAACAGTACCCGCCCTCTGCTCCACCGCCGTATTATAACTCCTACAGAGCTGTGGATGACACTTCACATGGCGGCTGTGTTATTTCCTAATTTTTCTCTCTCTCTCTATGTCTCTTGTTCTCCCTCTATATATATATATATATATATATATATATATATATATATATATATATATATATATATATCTAATCTATATATGTATAATTATTTGAGAGAATTGGCAATGTACAGTAAATAATGTGAGTGTTGTTATTCATCATGAGACGGTGTATGGTTGTAATTAATATCAAGCTAAATATGAGTTTAATCAATTTGAATAATGTAATGAGTCGAATTTAAGTATTTAATATATACAAATTAAACTACTACTAAAGTTTGATTGACAAATATTAATGTAATAATCAATTATATGTTTATGATATTTATAAAAAGACCCGCATAGGCAGCTCAACTGGTTATAGAGGTGAAATTTTGAAAGAATGACCAAGAATCAAGTCTCACTAGCGACAATGACATCCTCTCAAATGCTTTGTCGGGTTGAGATTCATCCTTCAAAAGATATTTATAAAAAGACCTCCTCTCAAATGCTTTGTCGGGTTGAGATTCATCCTTCAAAAGATATTTATAAAAAGACCGCTAATAAAATTTATCTAATTTACAACAATATCTCAAATAAAAAATTTAATAATTACTTTTTTTTTTTTCTATTCGTATGAAGGAAAATAAAAATAAATCAAAACAAGCTAGCTTAAAGACGGCAATGAACATATAAAGTTATTCAATCCATAGATTTATTAACATTCCTATATGTGTTTTTTTTTTAAAGGTTCCTATATGTGTTTGATTAAGTAATTTCACTTACATATCAAAATTTTCTTAATTATGCATAGAAAATTGTGGCTCGAGTAAATATTATTCTCGTATAAAAAATTAAGAGTGATTTTTTTCAACATTTTTTTAATCAAATTTAATATAATATATAAACTATTACACAAAAATAATATTTATTAAATATATATCCTTATACAGTAACAAAACATATTCCTGAACGCTCAAAAAAATTTCTTAAAGAATTCAAGAACGTAACTGGCCGGAAAAGTGCTTGCCCAATTTCATATTTTATCATGTTTCATCCAAAAAAGAAAAAAGAAAAAAAAAAGACTTAAATGGCTTTCAAAAAAATAAAAATAAATAAACTTAAATGGATTATAATATTGCCGGCAAAAAAGCAGGCGGCAATAGTAGTGGATAATGATGATATAGGCATATAGCTATTAGCTAGCATGCATAGATTTTGTGATGCTAAAGGCTGAATTTATCAGCATATTTTTATTTTTTTTTTCTTGAAGTGATTCTTATTTTCATATCAACTAATTTATAATCCATTCACTATTTTTTTTTTTTTTTTTTTTTTTACATCTTACCATTCTAATCTACTTTTAAAATATGCCCATTTACATAAATTTACTCTTTTTTACAAAACAAAACAATAAAGTAAAATAAAAAAAAAAAAGACAAAAAGTTATATTTTTAGCAACTTTATTAGTAATATATGCAAGCTTGCAACACATGATAAAAAAATATCAAAGTTATAATTTTTTTTACACAACACCTTGCGATTGAGATAATTGCAGGGATGTGGTCAATCTAAACTATCTTAAATTATAAACAAAGTGATTTGACTTTACTTATAAATCTCTCAATTTTAGTTGATAAGTTATTAATACGGAGTAATTTAATCTAATTTTTATTTATAATATTTTATTAATTAAGATCACAAAATATATTTCTAAATAATAGGTATAAATTTTTTCATAAATCAAAAAAGAAAATTATAATGCCTTATCTAGGTTATTTACTAAATGTCAATTATCTACCTAAAATATCACCATCAAACATAAAGGTAGTCAGATTCTTTTTGAACTTGTCTAACAAATGCATTTCTACATAATAGGATGACGTATAGAAATGAATAAATTAATAAAAAGAAAATTACATACCTCAAACTTGGCTGCCAAGTTTCATTATATTACCAAGTACCAACTATAAAGTCGAGAAATAATGACAAATACATCCAGCAAGAAACTCTTATATCGTCTGATCTGGTTCCAACTTTAAGTTTCCTCTCCCCATTGACTTCATTCCCAAATCCCAATATCTCCATCCAGGATCCCAATATTAATTAATTTTAATTTATTTTACCATTACTAAGTAGTTTGACTAAGTTAAACAAACAATGTGATTATTTAATTAATTACCAACTTTTTCTAATAATTTTTTTGATCAACTTTAAAAAAAAAAAAAAGTCATTTTGTATGTAATTAGTATTAAGTATTAACTAACAGTTAATTTATCAAACATTTTCTATCATTTACTAATGATATTAACTAATCAAACCTACTAATCCAATTAGCTAACAACTATTTACCAAACACTCCTTAATCTTATAAAATTTTTATGAATATGATGAAAAATTTGAGTTTAATTATACGTTATTAAATTTGCCACATGTTTGCAATATATCAAAATTAAAAGGTAAATTATTGTATAAAATAGTGGGAAAATGGCAGTCCTCCCCCCTCCCCCCTCTCTCAGTTATACGCTTATAACATTTTTCCCCTGTGTTATTTATACATCCACATTTGCCTCTTCAATTATTTTGAAAGTGGAGGTTTTGTCATCTTTGATGTTAAATGGATATTTTTACCCTTAAAATAATTATTTCATTTGTTTCTCTTCTCTAATAAATTATTACTTATATGTAGGGATGACTACAGTTCGATTTGAACTAAATCGAGCACTATAGCAACCGAAATGAAATAGTATGGATGGTTCTTGTTACGATTTAGAACCGTTACAAAAATTGTTTAATTTAGACTATTTTAAAATTGTTTAGTTTAGACTACTTTCCTTGTAAAATGTCTTGTTTATGATTTAATGCATTAAGTTTTTGTCTTTAAAAAAAACTAGAAAATAGGATTTACAAAAATAAATAAATAAATTTTGAACCGGCAGTTCAAACCGAAACTGGAATTATAATAAATAATAAATGTGAATTGAAACCGAACAGATTTGTAAACATCGTTTGTAAATGATAAATCTGTTTGATTCTGGTTCGCATTTATTCCGATTTCATATTAAAAAATGTATTTATTTATTTATTTATATTTGTAAATTTTATTTTCTATTTTAAAATAGTCTAAATTCAACAATTGTTTTATTTTTTTCGGTTCTGAATCGTAACAAGAACCATCCCTACTATTTTAGTTCGGGTGTTATAGCATCCTGTTTAGTTCAAATCAAACCGTAGTCATCCTTACATATAAGTAATAATTTGTTGGAGAATAAAAATAAATGAAATAATTATTTTAAGAGTAAAAATGTCCATTTAACCTTAAATGAGAAAAAATCGTCACTTTTAAAATAATTATGGAGACAAATATGTATGCATAAATAACACAAGAGAAAAAAAATACTATAAATTTATAATTGGGAAAATGACACTTTTTCCCCCTATGTTATATACTTATAGCACTTTTTCCCCCTCAATTATTTAAGTGGCTCTTTTTCCCCCTGAAATGTTAAATAGACATATTTACCCTTAAAATAAATATTTCATTTATTTTTATTCTCCAATAAATTATTACTATAATTTGGTTCAAACCAGATACTATAGTAACCAAACCAAAATATTCCAATTACAATTTATAATCAAAACGCGATATTTAGAGTTTATTAAAATCAAGAACTGGAATGGGCGGTTCATGTTCCAAACTGAAAAAATAAAATACATTTATTGTTGAATTTAAACTATTTTAAAATAAAAAATAAAATTTTAAAATAAAGACGGTTCAAAATCGCGAACGGGATCCGGAACCGTCGGTTCATGATCCAGTTTTTTTTTTTTTTATTCTTAAATTTAATAAATTGAAATCCAAATATTGGGTTCTAGATCTGAATCATAACTGAAAACTTTTAATTCGATTGCTATAGTGTCTGGTTCAGTTTGAACCGAACCGTGGTAATCGCTACATATACGCAATAATTTGTTGGAGAAGTAAAATAAATAAAATGTTTACTTTAAGGGTAGAAATGTCAATTTAATATATTAGGGGAGAAAACCATCACTTTTAAAATAATTGAGGGGACTAATGTGCTTACATAAATAATTGAGGGAAAAAAAGTTCTATAAGTATATAACATAGGGGGAAAAAGTGTCATTTTCCCTTTATAATTTAAGAAGAAAAAGTGTCATTTTCTTTAAAATAATTAATACTCTTAAAGTGGGCCAATGGAGCAAGCATAGGAAACACCAACTTGCCCTTGTCCTGTTCCGCTATCATTTAAAAAAAAAAAATTTAAGTTTAATAAAATATTAATTCAATAAGGCAATAGTTGAATAATAAAATACTCTAAATAAGTTAAACAAATACTAATATTATAAATTTTGCCCGAGTCTAAATGAAATATTGAAATGTGTGTGTACACTGACAGGGGTTACATGGTATGTATAAGGATACCATAAAGAGATACAAAATAGAAAACAGTAAAAGAAATAAAGAATATTTATAATTTTATTTTTAATGAAGTATGGTACTAAATTACAATCGTTATATCGTGCACCCGACGCACAATGTATTGTGCACTTTGCCCTATCCAAAATAACGTCATTTTGTTAAGTTTTACAGGGAGTTGACGTGGCGGAGTTTATGTACATTCTACTATACAATTATGTATATTCGAAATATGTCTGTATGGGTAGCTCAACTGGTCATAGAGGTGAAATTTTGGAAAAATGACCAGGGATCGAGTCTCAACCTCTCAAAGTGAGGGGGGCTCCTTGTGCGCAGTGAGCACTGGTCTAGCCTCTGTGGTTCATGTTCAGTTGAGTCACCATGATTTACATCCTCCCAAATGCTCTATCGGGTTGGGGTTCAACTTTTTGGAAGAATGTATATTCGAAATATGAAATTTTGTATTATGTTAGATTATGTGTATTATCCTTTCAAAAAAGATTATGTGCATTATGTTAGGAATTTATGTGTATTCTATTACACAATTATGTACATTCGAAACATGATATTTTTTTTTAGAAGTTAACAACAGATACGAGAAACGAAATTTCCAAAAAAAAAAAAAAACATATATAAAACGACGTCGTTTTGGGTCAAGACGCACAATGCATTGTGTGCCCTGGTGTACGATATAATTTGCCATTAAATTAATGCAAATTTTATTGTGAATCATGAATAAAAAAAATACATTTTTAATATATTATAGGTACATTATTTATGTATTGAGTGTACATTTTTTATATTATACAAAGTAATGTTACAGTATCGAACCCCGGTGGTGGGGTATTGACTATTTGGGCTGTTGCAAAATAGCATTAAAATGGCATTTTAAGTGGCTATTGTGTGGTACGATTATCATTAGGGTCCACTTCCGATTTGGGTCGGATCAAAGTGAATTCGGGTTCTTCGTAGTGAGACGAAGAGATTGATATATTGTTTGCTCAAAACGGATAATGGGTGAATGAGATATTAATTCTCAAAGTATACCCATTGATTTGGAAAATGAAGAGACAAAGATGAGTTTTTGTCCCACGTTGGTTTGGGAAGTGGATTTACACCACAATTTATACAAGAGTCTTTTAAAAGCTTATTGAATTGTAAAGCATTGGGTTTGTGCGCTAGCACTTGCGGGCACGATTGTCGTTTGAAATTGGCAAGTTTTTTACGATGAGTGAACAAGAGAGACACAACACATGACTCACCTTTTATTCTCCAAAACTCTGCTCCTACTCCTTGAAAATTGGCAAGTCTTTTATTCTCCAAAACTCTGCTCCTACTCCTTGAAAATTGGCAAGTCTTTTACGATGAGTGAACAAGAGAGACACAACACACGACTCACCTTTTATTCTCCAAAACTCTGCTCCTACTCCTTCTTGAAACTGTGCTCTAGTTCGCCGGGTTCGTTCGTTTGGGGAAAGAGCAGTAGGTCTTTTACGATGAGTGAACAAGTGAAGAAAGTGAACAAGCTAAGAGAGACACAACACATGACTCGCATTTTCTTCCCCAAAACTCTACTCCTACTCCTTCTTGAAGCTGTGTTCTTGCCCGTGCTCTAGTTCGCCGGGTTCGTTCGTTTGGGTGCTCAAACGTCGAACCGTAGTACGTTTTATCTTGAAAAACCTAGGCCACAACGTCTTTAGCACTTTTGGGAGACGACAAATAAGGTTTTAAGGAAAAATGACATTTCGCCTGACTCGTACTAACCCTCTTCCTTTTGCCTTTTCTTTTACATTTTGGGATTATACTTTAAGCACAAATCTGTTGTTCTATATATTCATATATATAGTTGTTGGAATTATAATCTAAAGGATTTTACATTCCATTTTGGTTGATAATATATATATATATATATATATATATATATATATATATATATATATGTTAGGATTGCAATTGTTACATTTCTCTATTTTGTAACTTCTCTCGGTGGTTGTGTTGGTCCTTTTGTAAAATTAACACTTATTACTATTCGTAGAAAGGCAAACGGAGGATTGATTACATAAAAGTATGAAATATACATAATAATTTGATTACTTGTTTTGATCATCTTCTTCTTCTCTCCACATTTCAGCCCAATTTCTCTGAGCTTCTTCAAACCCAAGAGCAGATCCCTCCCTCTCAGAAACCCAGCTCGCCGACAGAGCCCCATACACAACTCCAAGACTCGACGCACTCAGAAACACGAAAATCGTCAAGATCGGCACCCAGTTAGGCACGTCCCAGATCCCTCGCTCCTTCACCGTGCCCAGGATTTGCACCGCCCCAAGACCAGTCGCCATCGGAGCTCCCACGTAAAACAATATCCTCCTCGTGATTCTGTTCCACACATCCTCCGGCAATTTCTCGTCCTCGTCCTCCCCCTCCTCGTCTCTGTCGGCCTTCGGCTTGCTTTTCATGGCTGGGCCCCCGCCGAAGCCCTTTGCAGCTTCCGCTTGCAGCCGCCGTGCTCTCCTCCGGTTGAAGTTTGGATTCCTCGAGGGTTCGTGAGAGAGGAGCGAGATGCGTTGAGTGGATGGGATTGGGTTTGGAAGGTAGAGGAAAGGGTGTTCGAGAGCGATGAGAGTTTTCATGGCTTCTTTAGCCATTTTAGTTTCTGATCAGAGAATTGTGTGCTATGAAGTATAAAAACGCAGCCTTATCCAGAGATAATGAATGGTTCTTGATATGATAAAGTTACCGAATATACCTGTTGAAGATGGTTCGTAAAGATATTTTCTAAGATTTTTTTTTTCTTCTTCTTTTTGAGGATAGACAATTTGGTCCAGTACCTAAACACTGACTCCGTATTTCTTATTATACTTTTGTTGGGTTACATACCGCCACTACTACTTGATGCTATATTGATATGTATGAATACATTCACTTTATGTGCAAAAGTATATTATTATTATTATTATTATTATAGATTAAAAAAAAAAAAAAACAAACATATTCCGTTGCTAATTATCTTCACAGTACTAGGTAACGTACTTATGAATTTTATAGACGGGTTCAAGCACCTCGATGTTTAGTACTACGAAGAGACAATGAGAGTAACGGGACTGGCAGACATGACTACTGAACCCGTTTATACAATATTGTTTTTTAAAAATAAATTATTGGAGGTGTTTTGGGGAAACTAATTTATTTTCTCAAAAAACTTAACAAAAATATTGATTTGAGTAGCTTTTAAAATTTCAGTGTTTTGGAGCAATAATCTATTACAAAAGCTAATTAACCAAACACTCATATTGACTGTTTTGACTAAATCAAACTAGCCAATATTGGATGATCAGTTATGTTACCAAACAGGTTGTATATCACCTACCACAAATGTTATGTACATAACACTCCAAACAAATATTGACAAAATAATCACAAGTTAAAATATGCTGAGAAGTTTCACTTAAGATTTATTTTCAACGACATGGTGAGTGTTTCATTCCTGCCACGAACATTAGAGGTTTGGGTTGGACTCTTTATGTATAAAATGTAGAATTTTATATTGAATCTTGAAGTTAAGTTTGCTGCAAAGATAAAAAGTTGACGTTTTTTTTTTTTTTTTTTTTTTTTTTTTTTTTTTTTTTTAATTTAATTTTATTTAAAATTATTAAAATAAATATAAAATAATAAAATTTTAATGGAATGACTGCTACATCAACATTAACCCAAAAAAATATATTAAATTTGATTTAATTAAATGCTTTTAGACTATTTAGAGATCCAATTATAGTTTCGCGTATAGTACTAGTGCTTATTTTAGTATTATTCCATAAATTAGTAGTATGTCTAATTTGTGCATTGGATATACGACGTCGTCCTGGTACCATTTAAAAAGAATTCTATCTCAAATTTACTGTTCACATCGAGCCCTAACTTTTTTGGCGCCTCTTCGTCAGTTCCTCTCGAGTCTCGACGTATTCTCCCTCTCCCTTTAGTCTTTGGGTTTTCTGATCATCTGCTGTTTCTACTGGATTTCAGCCTGCGAGGCAAACGGTTTTAGAATCTCCATCTCTCAGGTAACTCCTTTCTTCAATTTCATTGAGTACTGTATATGCATTTGGTGAAGTCGAAAATTCTGTTTTGGTGTCCTAGGTATTCTCTCTCTGTTTTCATATTAATCTCTTTGTTCCAGGGTTTTCCATTTCATATCCTAAATGGCTACTGCATCTATGGATTTCGATGTTGGGGGAGACGATCCCAATGCGTCAATTCCCCGTGGTGGCCCAATTTATGTTCCGGACATGGTTAGTGCGCTCACAAGGATTCCAGATTTTGAATCCTCTGTATTCCATGAACTTCAGGTATGAAGCGTCTTTAAGATTATATTATGTGTAGAGTATGTGTTTGCGATATTCTTCTTATTTGAAATTTGTAGGCCGTATCCCTCCTCTCCCAATCATTATACCATGAACCATGGTTCACCATGATGAACCACTCACATAAGATTCATTTTTTCATTTTTAGTATACTAAAGCTTCATTTTTTGAAGCTTATTTCTTGTGTAATTAAAAGTTCATGAGGTATACTATCTGAAAATGAACTTTCAGTACCTTCAATATGAACAGTTATCTATGGTCTACATTGCAATGTGGACCATGGTCCATAGTATAATTTGTCCTTCTTTCTCCATACCACTAATGATAATGCAGATTTTTGTTGTTCCGTTTGATGCTTTATATGATAGCCTGTATTAAGATTCTTTATATTTTTAATGCAGAATCTTAAGGAGGAATTATGTTGCGAGTCACTTGAAATGTATGATGATGAAATCTTGTGAGTTTTTCTTATCTTGTTTCTGCTTTGCTCAGCTACTCCTTCTGGGTTTACCATTCTGTTTAATCTCTGGTGCTTTTGTGTTGGACTTGATTGAGGGGAGGAAACTTTCCTTTCCTTTACTCTATCTTGTTTCTTTATATTTCTACACTCCACTTGAGGCAATTATTGCCCTTCTTAATATTGAATGATGGAAAAAACTTGTTATTGCCCATCTCTTGTTTTGTCTATGTTCTTCCCTTTGTTCATGGCTGTGGACTGACTTTGGCTACACAATTTCCTAAAGGGTAGAAGAACTCAAAATTATAAAGGAGGAAGACCTGGTAAATAGGGCATTCGAAGAAGCATTCATGGTATATAATCTCAATTTCATATTTTCATTAGAATACACATGTTCAGTTAGTTTGACAAGTTCCCCTTGGATGCTGGCAGGGTGATGAGTTGAGAATAGACTCTTCATATCCTATACTAGATAACCCTGTGCCTAATGCTGCTGCTTCAGAAAGGTCTGAGAGAGAATTATGTTCTTCAACTAACCGTGATTCCTCAACTGGGGTTCGTAATAGAGCCTGCCATAATAAGAGGTCAAAGAAAAACCATTTCAGTAAGAGGAAACAAAATCCTGTTGAAGTATGCTATATGCTCTTAAATTCTTTTATCTTCCATGATTTTGTCATATTCATTTATTTTTGGTGTTGCACATGGGACATTAAGCAGACGAGGAAGAGAGTGGTATAAAAACTACTCCTTCAATTGCTGCATGTTTCTTTATCTGATTGGAAATTTATTTGGTTTTTATATTAAAGATGTGATTACTCCTTTCTTTATTTCCTTTGGGGATAAAATGTGGTCATTTATTTGATTGTGCCATCCTTTTACGTATCCAGGAAAGCTATATTGCTAAGGTGGAGCAGCTTGCAAGAATTAAGCATAAACAAGAGGAAGATAAAGCAGCAGCGAGATTGCATTCATTCAAGTGAGCATTTTCTAAGTTAAAGTTGATTTGCACCTTATCCGTTGCAGTGTTTTTTGACAACTCGATGTCATTTGTAACTATTAACCTCTGGTTGTGTTATTTGTTTCAGTGGTAGTTGTGGGACTATGAACTCTGCACCAAAATCCTCTGAGAAAAGTGAGAGGATTACATCACTCAAGTCCATAAGTTCATCCAGAAAGGTTTGTTTGATGAGTCCTTTTACTTTTGTTTTGCTAGTTTTGAACTCTTAATTTTTCATTCCATATTGCATCAAGATCACTGTTTAATTTATTCTACCTTATAGCTTTTCTTATATTTTGTGCTCCTTAAAAAGGTTTGCCAAGTCAAGTCATCTAGTTCGAGAGCACACGTTCCTATTCAATTTCCAGAAGTTGTCCTGTGTGTAGAGGTTTATCGTAGCAGAAAGCCATTAATGAAGGTAATTTATGTTTGAGCCACACTCTGTTTGTTTCCATAATCCTATCCAAATACACTAAAAAACAACTACTGATTTCTATAAGCTTAAGTAAATTATCCAAAGTGGGTATGTGTTTGTTTTGCTTTATCTTCTTTCATTTGTGACTAACAAATTGTTTGCAGAGTCAAGAATTTTTGGTCCTAGGGCAGCAAAGTTTGACTGAAGTCAGAGACCAGATATATTGCATTACGGATGAAATTATGAGAAAGGCTGACAAGGATGATCCTTCTGGCTACTTTCTTATAGAGGTAAATGAATGACTTAACATTACTGCTTGTCTAGAATAGAGCTCTTCTTCAGTCTTGGCCTAAGAAATATAGCTACATTTTTTAACTGCTATGAACTTTTCAGGATTTATTTTGCAATGATTTAAGGGATCCGCATGCTACTGATTATAGTAAACCAATACTTGATTGGCTTGAAAATTCTACGGAGGCAGTTGAAAAATGGGAATGTATCAACTCAGGTGAGCTGCTGCAGAAGCAGAAAGCAGTTTTAGGCAATAAAGCAGGACTGCGATTGCCTCGCTTTAGAGCTGTTGAAATGAAAAATATGCGCTTTTGTGACTTGAGATTTCGAGTTGGTGGAGGATATCTTTATTGTCATCAGGTACAATGCCTCATCTTTCATTCTCCCCAAGAAGATATAAATGTGGTCTGATCACAGAGTGGCATTTTACAACTAAACATTTCCGTTATGGAACTAATTTTGCTTTTCTTTACCTGCTGAAGGGGGACTGCAAGCATCTAATTGTAATAAGAGATATGAGGTTGATCCATCCTGAGGATGTGCAGAACCAAGCTGCTTACCCATTAGTTATATTTCAATTAAGAGTGCGGCTTCAGAAATGTTCTGTCTGCAAGATATACAAAGCCGAAAAGATGACAGTTGATGATAAATGGGCTCCTGAAAATCCTTGTTATTTCTGTGATCTTTGTTATTACATGCTCCATTATGTGAATGGATCTTTGCTTTATGATGATTTCTCTGTATATGATTATCTCCATGATTAACATGTGATCGTAAACATAAATCTTTAATTGTCAGATTATTTATACCTTTTCAGTAGGAAACTTTTTCTTCTAATCTGCACTTCATTGTTTGCAAAAATATGAAATGAAATATCTGTAACAGTCTCCTCATTCACATTTGAGTTGATCCTACACCAAAGAACTTTGTATTGAATGCTGGATAAGCAGTTGGTATGCTGTTTATCATTGACATTTATGCTGAGTTTATAACATATTATGATTATGATTATATAGAGATCCTTGCCCACAAAAGGCGTAATTCATTGCCCAAGTGTCCTCACATATTGAACCGACAGGATTGTGGAAGGGTAAATCATTGTGACTCAACAAACAATCCATTGTCCCAAGTGTCCCCACACCTTTGCCTGATAAGATTGAGGGGTAAATTACTATGACTCAACAGACAATTAGATGGGAGGACTAGTCCTTGGTGAATAAATGGCATAGTGCAATTAGATGGGAGGACTAATCCTTGGTGACTCAAAACATTACAAATATGGTTGTACCTAAAATGGCATAGTGCAATAGAAAATCCCTATGATAATAATATTCATTTCAAACAAAATGAACACTATAGTAATGAACCTTCATTGCAATTGTATTTCAGTATATTGCAGTCTTGATCTCAGTATAGAAAAATCTGTATAAAGAACAAGAAATGTAAAAATACCATGACCACCACAAAAGTTTGGGTTCCAGGTCTGTCAAATACTCAACATTGCATCATGTCTGGTGAAAATTCTAAGTATTTCAATGAAAGCAGGAAGATTAAGAATTAACTGTCCCATTTTTCGATCCTCATCTAAAGTCAAGGTAGATTTGCGGAAAAATTACTCCCTAACGGTTCTTTCTTCGAGTAGTTCCATTGGCTTTGCCCTTTTTACCTGTAACTTGTCTCTCAACTTCCTCTTTGCCCTTTTTACCTGTAACTTGTCTCTCAACTTCCATTTTGCCCTTTTTATCTGTAACTTGTCTGTCAAATTCTTTGCCCTTTTTATCTGTAACTTGTGTGTCATCTTCCTCTTCTTCTTCTTCGTCTTCTTCTTCACTGTACTCACTCTGAACCGACTCCTCCTCGTCATATTCATCTTCATCAGTAGCATCTTCATCCTCGATGTCATCAGGAATATTCTGTTCTCCCTCAGCCACACGGCCACCCCGAGTACCAGTCCTGTTCCTTCTTAATACTTTAACCTTAACACTCACAGTGTTGTCACAGCCTAGCCAAGAATCACACACCAAATAACTAGTCAGGTTATAATTTCCTTCTGATGGAGCTTGGATCTTCCCCGTCACCAGTCGGGACCCACTCTTTACTCGTTCCGTAGCTTCTTTGACTGCAGCGCTAATTTCCTTTGTGTCTGCACCTAAAGCTTCCATTTTGTCTTCAACTATTTTCGAAGCAGCAGTTACTGCTCCAGCTTCATCCGTGAAGCTAACCTTTTGGGAAAACCACACACTATTTGAATTCGCATCTGCGAGTAAAAACCAGAAACTTTCCTCCTTGGGGAATGGGTAGTATGGATTATGTGGGAGGGCGCCAATCAAACCGTTAGCCCGTTTTAGCATGACCCAGGCCTGTACCGTAACAATGTCTCCCTCTTGTATGCCCTCCTCCCCTTCAGTCTCGCAACTGACATCAACTGTGACACGAGGCATCAGTTCCAGTACCTTCTCAACATCTTGCGCTTCAGCCACAGATAAGCTGGCAACCTCCGTGAGCAGCTCGGCACGTTCTTGAGATGTCATGTCTCGGAAGTCCTGGAAAGTGCGTGCCTACCACCAGCAAACATCATTAAACAAGAACCAACGAATAGCTGACACTCTTTGAGTGATGAGAAAGTTTTGAACTTCAATAAAGACAAAAAAGTTTTCCTTCCAGTATTCAGAGCGGAAGAGTTTTCAACATCATGTTGAGCATATAACCATTAATGTGCAATCTAACTATCAGCTTAAGCTTTTAGTTGAGATGGAGCACATGCTTCAATTTGGTATCAGAGTCAGACCAAAGGTCGATAAGCGACGCAATCCAACTATCAGCTTAGGCTTTTAGTTGAGATGTGCTAATGCCCAATAAATAAACAGTGAAAGACTAGCTTACTTTCTGCACTATCTTTTCAATAACTGTGTCGCTGAAATGTGGAAGCTGCAAGAAAGGAGCAACACCTTCACTAGATCCCCGAGTAGCTTTCCTTGCACTAAGAGGAATCGCCTGCATGATCCATGGTTCTCTTTAGATCACAACGTCAAATACATGCTTGAGTTTTACACTTTTAATAGATAAGTTATCTTTCAGAAGATAGTTTGAAATATCAAAGTTCCAGAAATACTCCCATAAGGGTCTATAACTTGTAACCTGAACAATACATTGGGAAAGTTCAACAACTCCTATTGCAGGTCTCAGCCATCCATGACCCTTAGAGGTGCGTGGTAGATTAGCCATCTGTGTATAGCAAATACAAGCAAAGTGAATGAGAAGCAGGTCTGATTCACATATAAAGGGGAGCAAAACTCAAATGTAATGTCATCACAGCCGGCATGGTTGCAGTAGGCGCTAGGCGCTAGTCGGGAGCCCGGGCAGCACCTAGCGCCTAGGCGGAATCTAGGTGGCGCTAGGCGGGCGCCAAAAAAATAGTGACAGACTTGCAGTTTGACAATTTTGATGAGGCTGTTTTCAACATTCAATCAAATAACACATTCAAATACATGAAATAATGATAATTCATAAGTGATAACATCAAAACAATATTTAAAAAAAAAAAAAAAAAAAAAAAAAAAAAACCTCAAATATGAAATACTCAAATACTTCATCATCCAAAGATTCAAAGTATCAAACTAGTCTACGGACGGCTCGACCAGACAAAATCGACCGACTCGGCCGAGTTGGCCGACTAGGCTGGTTTTGACCGATTTCGCCACCTAGCCGGCCGGCCAATTTTTGGGCGCCTAACAGTGAAAGTGGAACGGCCTAGGGGCGCCTAGGTCGATTTTTACAACATAAATGACAGGTCCAAAGAGCTGCATAGCCATAGGTTTGATGCCTCAACAAATTAGGAGACCCCATCAGGCCTATATAAAGACAGTTTAGTCCCAGCTGAGCTTTGTAGTCGGGATAAAACAGTATCAGTTTAAATTACCTAGAGGTCTCCCATGAGAGAACATGAAAAATTACTCTGAAAACAGAAGCAGATGAAGGGCCCTTATTTAGCACAGTTAAAGAGAACTATTGAATCTAACATTTGTGGTTTTGTCACTTTTAAAGATGAAGCCACTTAGGTGTTTATGGCAAATATAGCATAGAATGCTCCACAATTTACTAGCAGGATTTGGCAATTAACATTGCAATAAAAATTACAATCCAAGTTTACCACAAATAGCTCTTCTAGAAGCTGAGGGGCAAGCCGAAGCACATGTTTGTAGTCTCTCTGCAGATCTGGGGATAAAGTCTCTGCTTTGCGAGTTAAATGTGCTTGAATCAGCAATTCAGTCTAAGAAGAAAAGGAAAGAAAAATTATCTTTCAGTAGCTGATAGTTGATTAAAAGTCGCCTTAACAATAGCGCATTACCTTAATCAGTGATGGATGTTGTTTCCAGTATTTCGCTTGTTCCTGCTTTGCACTCTTGCCATCCAAGTTCAGCTCTCCTTTTACGACTGAGAAGAGCTTCTGGAGGGGTTCATCATCAGATCTGCGAACTGGAATCTCCATGTACTCAGCAGCCTTAATGAAGACTTCCATAATTTTGCTGAAAGTTCAAGGTGATTACGGGTCGATTTACTTCATTGCCATTATGTGTGCATCAAGCATATCCAGAGAGTAGTAGAAACTTACTCTCCTTAATGATGAATTAAAACAATATAGGTTAGCATTAATAAATGAAAATAGAGATAATCCTGAAGGCTAAATCATGTTAACTAAGACTAAGCAGTTTTCCCTTCTTCTTTTTTGGTCAGGCCATGAGGTGTCCTGAGCAGGTCCTAACTGTAGGAGGCACCTTTAAGCCCGTACCATACTCAGACTGATCCCCATTCGCACCGGGCCGGCCCAATTAAGGGGCAAAGTGCTGACCAGATTGGTTTTTCCATACGAGAGGGGGTTCGAACTCCCGACCTCTCTTAAGGGGTGAGAGTGCACGGCCACTCACGCCAACCAAGCTGGTTAGCAGTTTTCCCAATATGATATACACTAGGAAGAATAATATTTAGAGAATTCAAAATTTCATACAGAAAGACCATACTAAACCTTGGGGCCAAAGAAGGCTTCACTGAGTTAAAATAGGTAGACAAGGTTTCACGTCTGACATTTCCAGAATATTGCGATGATCTCGACAGATATATAACACCAATAATTAACGGCAACAGAATAAGTCCTCCAAGAATCCAAATTAACAGCATTCCACCAGATGCACCAGCAAGCAGGAATTCGGGAAGAGCTATTCCAACTTGAAAGCCCTATAGCAAGACATGATACTGTCAGTTTGATGTGATTGCCTCTGGTTTTCACAAGGCAAAGCTATCTGTTTATCCACATGAATAAGATGAGCTCGAGAGTTAAATGCAAATGAGGCACGTTACCTGTCTACCATCAGGATGCCCATATTTCTCAAAATTCTCACGGGAAATTGGATCTGTCAGAGCTTGGTAGGCTTTGGATATATATTCCACAAAATACTTATTGGCATCTGAAATTTTTAAAGAAAGTGAGTAACTTCTTCTAAGCACGTGTCACTTATATAAACAACCATAGTCTATACAAAAAATAGGAGATCTGCCAACCTGGGTCGGGATTTTTGTCAGGATGGTACTGAATAGAAAGCCTCCTATATGCCTTCTTTATTGCTGAATCTGAAGCTCCAGGTTCCAGCCCAAGAATACTGAATGGCTCAAACACTTGAATCTGTGTCAGAATAAAACAGAACGCTATCAATAAAGATATGCAATATTCAGATCCATAAAACCATTGATTAGTACTGTGTGCTAAAAATTCGATCCACTCAACCACATCTAAGGGTATGTTGTAAAAGAATCATTAAAATATGGTCTGAAGAAAATTACTATAACAAGGTCAACATTTACCTCACTCCTAGACTGCTTAACCGAATAAGCAACTAGGCCAACAATCAACCAAAGCAAAATCAAGGTCACGTTACTGCAGCTTAAGAAGCTTGAGATCTGCAAAAAAGTTTACTCGAGTAAAATAATTGGATAAATATAGATACATGTCACACTCACTAAGAATAAAGTTAAGCTCAGTTGCAAAAGTAACTGACCCGCTGAGAATTTGATTTGCGATATTTTCCAGATCGTGTGCACACAGAACACTCACAGTGGATGTTCCTCGTACTCCTCGTAGCAGCACGGAAAATCTTGAGCACCGTATAGGGGACTAAAGGCAGACCAATTACAGACAAAATGAAAATTGGGAATAATGCACTGTTTTCTTGGTTATCGGCCATCAGAACCTTCTACCTGTGGATTCTATAACCTGCAAAAATGGATTCTAAAGCATCAATCAACAGAACATGAACAAATTACCAACTACTACATGGCTGCAGTTTCAGCTCAGTTCCAGATATGTGACTATTAACAAATATTGAAGCAATGCTAAAACATTAATATGCAAATTAAGTTATTATCAATAACATAAAATATTTACCACCATAGATAAATTCAATCAACAAAATCCATTCAACTGTGAGTATCGATTAAAGAAATTAAGGTAATTCACATCAATCAGTCAACAAAGATGAAAGTCAAAGCAAAACGGGCAATTCAAAAGGGAATTGAAGGGGAATTTAGGGACTTCCTCAGAATTTTTAGGGGCAAGCATGATTTTTTCCCCACAAGAAACAGTAAAATCCGTCAAAGAATGAGTCTTTTCACATGCAAATCAAAGGGCAACAAACAAAATATCCAGAAAAATCAAGACCCATTTTCAATTCAGTCAAATAAACTAAGCATAAATGGGATTACAAATCAAAGCATCTATGCTAGCGCAAGAAATGCAGATTAAAATTCTCGAACTAATGGGTATGCTGCAGATACCTGAAATTTGAAGAGAAAAGATCTGGGTCTTCTTCTAGGACCCAAAGCTTGCATCAGTGAGAGGGCGCCAAGGAGATAGTCCCCTATGAATTAGGCAGCGATACTGTAGTCTGTAACGTAGGTGACAGTGTATATTTTGCTTCTTTTCCAAATTTAGCCCTCAAGTCCTATGTTTTGCCACCATAAATAGTGATGGCAAATCCGTCCATCTAAATTCTGAACCTGCATTTATTAACTATACTAGCGAATACCAATTTTGATTAACAAAATGTGGTTTTGTTCCACATGTTTAATTCTTACTAATTTTCATTCACGATTATTGTTTTAATATCGATTTTTATCTACGATTATTAATTTAGTGTCAAAATTTATCATATCGGTCACTCATTCGTTTAAAACATGTCAAAATCTAAAAAATTTAAAGGTATATTCGTCCTTTTCAACTGAAGATCCCAATTTGAGTAAAAAATAATGATATTTAAGTCCTAAGATCGATCCCAATTCGCAATTCTCCTCATCAGTACCTTACCTTAATTTAAAGAGGAGAACTGTGAATTGAGATCGATCATAGGACTTAAATCCCTATTTAATGCTCAAATTGAGATCTTAGTTTGAAAAAGATGAAAATACCCTTAATAATTTAATATTTCGGCATATCTTAAACGGAGGGGGTGATCGGTGTGATGAATTTTGACACTAAAATAAGAGTCGTTGATGAAATTTGGTACTAAAACAATAGTCGTGGATGAAAATTGATAGAAATTAAACATGTGGACCAAAATTATCATTCTATTAATACCCGCGAGACCAAAATTTATATTTACTCTTAACTATACACTAGTAAATTACCGTGCGATGCACGGATAAATCTTTTTAATATATATTTAAATAATAAAATTAATGATAAAATTATAAACAATTTTAATATTTGGAAGTGTACATTTATTTGAAATTATAAGATTTGTTGTTTAATGTATATTAGTGTTGCAATTGATTACTTAAAAATCATATAGGAAAAGTTTACATAAAAAATAGAAGGGAAAGCATAGCTAATTGATATTATTTTAAGTAACAAAAAATACTATAATTAAATGAAGAAAATCTCTATGTTTAATTACCATAGTAAGATTAAAATGTAAAATATAGGTTGGTAATATTAACGTAATATGTGCATCTTTAATTTTCTTTAATAATTGTTGGTAGGGAATATCCCGACCGACATAGCTTCACCACGACCGAGAAGTCTTTGTCTCTTTCTCTTTGTCTTTACAGGTAACAGGTCGGGCTCCTTGAGAAAAACCCGGTCGGGGGCCGACCGGGAGTTGCCCGAGCGACGGTGTCGACTGCCGAGCGGTAGCCCTTTGGCGAGAGAGCTGACGAAAGACACGTGGCGATTCTCTACGACGACAGACAGGGCGCCCGGGAGGGCGACACGTGGTGGCTACGTGGAGGACATGCCGAACGGCTGGAATCCTGTCCCCGACTTAGCGGCTATAAATACCCACAATAGCTACAGTGTAAGGGACTTTTGGACGATCGATAGGTTGTTGTTAGAGAATCCCGACCGCACTCAGTCGGTACTCAGAGCAACCAAGTAGATTGTACTCAGGGCCTTTACCTTGATCAATAAAGACTTTACTTGCTTTATTTGGTCTTGTGTTGTTTATATTGCTTACGTAGAATTAGCAGTATCATTTTGGCGCCGTCCGTGGGGACCCGTGCAAGAAACCAACGTCTTGACGAGCACCCGGTCTCTATACCAACATGTATCCGTGGGCACACAACAACTTTGCCGACGACCAGGCGGATGCGGCGAGCTCCTCCGACCACTATGCTACCCAAGAGCAGGGTCAGACGATGGACCTCAACCTCAACCTCTCGCCACCGCATCCGTCAAATGCATACCCGGCCGCCCAGCAGCCGGTGAATTACATACAACCGGGATACCCAACACCCGGTCTGCCATACCAGCAGCAGCCGATGATGTATCCCGCCTAGTATCCATACCCGGTCCCACCTCCACCGTATGGGTATTGGTCAGGCCAACCGATGTGCTACACTCCCCCGGTTGGTTATCCGCCATATACGCCAGCTTATACAGCTCCAGCCGCCGCCCCTCCAGTACAACCGACCGCACAAGTAGAGCCGCAGCGTCAGTCCGCATCCCGGGCTCGACGCTCGGCTCATTCGCGGTTGGGGTCGGGGGGTGCTGATGCGATGGAGGCACCAGCTCAGGCCGTTCAAGCGGAGGACCCTGAAGAAGTTGCCCGAGTGGTAGCTTTTGATCGTCTTCGACCGGAGATGCGTCAGCGTTTGGGACCCCAAGACCCGAACCGCGGGCAAGAAGACGTACAAATGCAGGAAGCTAGCCAGGAGGCTTCGTCCGGGTATAGCGGGTCGAGATCTCACCGACGGCGACGCGCTCGGGATACAGCCCAAGCCGCTCAAGCCGCCGAGCTCAACGAAACCCGAGGATTACTTTATAACCTCCAGGCGGAAGTTGCGCAGCTCAGGAATGCGTACCCTGCGACACCCCCGGTCAACCAATCGACCCTGCACCAGACGCCTTTCACAGCAGCGGTAATGGCCCAGCCTTACCCACTCGACTTAAAGGTCTCTGGGGAGAAGAGTTATGACGGGCGGGCAGATCCTGAGGCCCACGTGAATGATTTTTTCAGCAACATGATGCTGAAGGGCGTTTCGGACGCCGTGATGTGCAGAGCCTTTTATTCAACCCTCACCGGTCGAGCGGCAGAGTGGTTCCGTACCCTGCCACCGGGGTCGATCGACAAATTTGAGACCCTGGCGGTCAAATTTGTGAGAAAGTTCATCACTTCCAAGGTGGTGAGGAAGTCCTACATGTATCTCGAGAAGGCCAAGCAATTAGAAGGGGAAAGCTTGACCGATTTCCTCATCAAATGGAAAGCGGCGGTCGGGGAGGTCGAGCCTATGGATGATGCGACCGCCACCCACATGCTTCACATATCTCTCCGGGCGGGACATTTGTATCAGGACTTCATCCTACACCCCCCGACCAGCTACGAGGAGGCCCTTCGGAGGGTCACAGACTATGCCAACGCCGGCGAGGCGAATGCCGTAAAGCGCTTGCAGGAGGTCGGTTCTTCGTCCCGTAAACCGGCCGGCCGGGCGGAACATAGGTCGGGAGATGACAATCCCCGATCCCGCACCAGGCCTGGCGAGTTTACGGCCTTGAACCGATCCGCAGCGGAGGCCATGCAGTACGCCCAGTCCTGCAATCTCATCAAACTCCCCCATCCCGATCGAGACGGCCCTGACAAGAGTAAGCACTGTGCTTACCATCGATGTGCCGGGCATGACACCGAGGAGTGTACCCACTTACGCCAATTGTTGGAAGATCTGCTCAACCTGGGAAAATTGGACAAGTGTGTGGGGAAGAGAGAGGACAACAAGAAGAATGCCGATCGGAGGGATCACAGGCGTTCTCATCACCGCTCCGATCGGTCAGGTCAGGACCGAAGAGACGACCGAAGGGACGATCGTCATGATGACCGACGGGACCCTGACCCTCCGTCTGGTAGCCGCCCGTCCGGAAAGCCTACCATCCACGTCATTTTTGGTGGGCTGGAAGATGCTTCCCGACCGCGGACTAATTGCCCGGTCGCAATAGTGGATTCCCGGGGGACCGGGAAGAGGCAGAAGATGGAACCCATAACCTTCACCCTTGAGGACCAACCTACCAGCAGTGACCACGGCATGGAGGCGCTCGTGGTCACGATTGACGTTAAGGGGACAGACGTCCAGAGGGTTATGGTTGACACGGGCAGCAGTGTGAACGTCCTATACTTGGACGTGTTTGAGAAGCTTGGCCTCGACAGGAAGGAGCTGACTCCGGTCGGTGTACCACTGTCAGGATTTACCGGGGCTCTTATCTACCCCGAGGGAAAAATAACGCTCCCAGTCGAGATCGGCACGCCTCCAAAGTCGATCCAAACGGAGCTGGAATTTGTTGTGGTCAACCTCCATTGCGTCCACAACATTATCTTGGGCCGACCCGCCATCATGAAGATCGGTGGGATAATCTCTATGCCCCACCTGTGCATGAAATTTCCCACCCCTAACGGGGTCGGCGTGGTCCGTGGCGATGTCCAATCCGCCCGGAAGTGTTACACCCGAGCGGTCAATAGACGTGACTCCGGTCCATCTTCCCGGGTAAACACCATAGCCAAAGAGGAGGCTAAGGATCGGAAGGAACAGCCTGAGCCTTCCGAAGAAATTGAAGAAGTTCCCCTGTCCGAGAACCGCCCGGACAGAAAGATAAAGATTGGTCGAGCCCTCACCCCCGAGATCCGAGCGGAAGTTCTGGCCGTGCTCCGGGAGTATGCTGATATCTTCGCATGGGGGCCTGAAGATATGCCCGGGATTGATCGTTCGGTCATCTGTCATAAGCTAGCCGTCGATCCCGCAGCAAAGCCGGTCGTGCAGAAGACACGACACCTTTCCTCCGATCGCCGCGAGTTTGTTAGGGAAGAAGTCAAAAAGATGGCGGCGATCGAGCACATCCGTCCGGTGGTCTATCCTGAGTGGGTGGCGAATATTGTTCTTGTTCCTAAGCCCCCAGCATGGAGGATGTGCATCGACTTCACGGACCTCAACAAGGCCTGTCCGCTCGACCCGTATCCTCTACCGAGCATTCACCAAATGGTCGACGAGACGGCCGGGGCCGAGTTAATGAGCTTCATGGATGCTTTCAAGGGGTACCATCAGATCATGATGCACCATGAAGACGAGAGCAAGACAGCCTTCGTGACCCCAGATGGGCTGTATTGTTACCGAGTGATGCCGTTCGGTCTCCGGAACGCAGGAGCGACCTACCAGAGGATGGTCAACATGCTCTTTGCCGATCTATTAGGCCGAACGATGGAAGCATACATCGACGATATGCTGGTCAAGAGTCGGGACTGATCCGACCACACTCGGGACCTTCGGGAGTGCTTCCAGATCATGAGGAAGTACCAGTAGCGGCTGAACCCGACCAAGTGCACATTCGCGGTTCAGACCGGCAAGTTCCTCGGCTATATGATGACTAAGAGAGGAATCGAGCCTAACCCGGCC